GCCAGAGATGCATATGGCTGCTATGAATAAAATTTATTGTCTCAAAGCAAGACCCAGTACAAGGCTCGTGTTGACTAACACAATGGCAGCAGCTTGACATCTCATAAAAATAAAATAAAATGGAGGAATGCTGGTGAGATTGGCTGATAACAGGCAGTTAATAGAAGCAGTGTAACAGAAATCTATAAAAAGTGAGGTAAAATATTTATTCAGGACATGGGAAATATAGCAATGATTATTGGTCTCATGAAACAAAGCACAGAAGGAAAAACAGAAAAAAAAAAGCCAAAAAACCAACGGCGCTTAGTTTGTGTGTTCCAAGAAGCAAGTTTTGATTTTCTGCATAGTTTGGTTTAGACAGGACCAGATGAGAATTTTTTGCTTAATTACATTTTTCAAGCCATCTGTTCTACAGAACCAGTAGGTGATATCAATTTAACATAGCATTTAAGTCAGATAATCAAAACCAAATCAAATTACCTTTTACAGGGAGAAATAGACACTTCCTGAGGGCAACTCATCTAATCTTAGTTGCATACTACAGGATGTATCAAATGAACCTCTCCCTGAAGGCACAGATAGTAATTGTTCTTTGCTCTTCTCCAGGCAGAGTGACTTCGACTACAACTTGGAACTGATTGGTGATAGGTGTTTACATAAGTTATAGCTCATCCTACTTCATATAGAAATTCATATGCAAATTCTACAGTTAACTTAAATATCAAGATTGATCAAAGATAATAATATACTTGTCACTTGCAAATCAGCACAGCTCTGTTGCCTCAAAAGGGAGCTATGTTGACTAAATTAAATACAGACATCTAAGTCTTGGAGATATAAGTTATGTGAAATCATATGCTTTTAAAGTCAGAAGGATTAATGTGTCATTTCTCATTTTGGGGGCTTCACTGAACAGCTATTACATCAGGCCTCATTTTCAGACCTGACTGTGAGACATATAAAAGAATAACTGAAAAAAAAAAAAGAATTCAATTGTATTCTCACTTGTTGCAAATTCCATGGATTCTTTAATTTATTCATGTAGCAGATAATTTGCCATTTAAGACTGACAGACATGCCAAGTTGAGCAAAATTATAATTTACTTTCCCACTATGAAGCTCATTGCAAGGCTAAACAAATGCTTATTTAAAGGTTTGTGTGGGGACTTGTGCTAGTAGATGGGATTTGCTTATTTCCTCAAGAAGAGTTACAGGGAAAAATTTTAAATTTTGTTGTCAAAAGAATAGTTTTTCCTTCATCTCTGTAGCCTGGGACTGTGTGCACTATTTGTACTGATTCATATACAGTTATATAGGGGTCTTTTCAAATATTTTTTGAAGTTCTGGACCAAGAAATGAATATGTGTGCCTCATGAATTTTTTAAGCAGATCAATGCATTTCAACAAGATGTCACAGAAAACCCACAATGATTCCAAAGTGAAGATCATCCTGAATGGGGTTATTCTGATTTCACAAGACACAAATGAACTTATTAAGAGTTGCTGGCTTTGAAGGTTCTCAGCTGATTTACCATTTCAGTTGGAAATCGAGGTATGTAAACATAAATTAAAACACTGCATGATTTATTTTTCTGTCTTTTCCAGGCTTAAAAATGAAAGCCTCCTTGCAAGTAAAGGCTTCAGTAAAATTATAAAAGATGCTATAAGCCAGAAAAAAATTTCAGTATGCAGCATCTTGGGTTTTGTGTATTTTATTAGATTGTAGTATAATATTACTATCTTCATATACACAGTATTTCATTTTATCATGCAGTGAAATTAATATGAAAATATTGATACTTTTTCTGATTGATACAGAGGGTTATAAATATTTTAGCTAATATAAACTTTGTGAAAGGTTTTAATGGAAACAGCAATTTCAGAAATAATAAAAGTGTATGTAAATTTTGCCAATAATGTTCATGAAGTGTAGAACTGCATCAAAACTATTTATCTATAAATGCAAATAAGTTTGAAGATTTGATAACACATATTAAAATGCAAATAACATTTAAAAGTCATTTTTGAAGGTGAAGGTTTGAATTTTCATCTTTCTCCTTTTCTCCCTTTTTTGTCTCCCTCCTGGTAGAACAGAAGAGAAATGATTCATTTTTTCATGGTGACTTCCTTGGAAAGCATTATTACTCACTGGTGTACAGCTTCAGTACATGACTGTCTAAGTGAAGGCATTTCCATCACAGTGTTCTCTCCTTGAAGAGTGACTACCATAGAATATTATTGATTTGCTTAGTGTATGATGATTCAGAGGTTAGACAGCTCAGAGTACAGCTGTTTTAAAAACTTTATGTCAAATAAACTCAAATACGATTCTGTAGCAGAAAAGCTCAGGCATTTTCTGCCCCCTAGTGGAAGTACAATCTTTAAGTTCTGTATTTGATTTGTATAGAAATTATTTCTTTTTGATCACAAACCAATGAAATACAAATCAAGAAAAAGGAACAAATTTTGCAATTGTCACATATAGTATAAAGGTTTCTTTTAAAAAAAAAGAATTGTCAAAAATAATGCACAGGCACATTGTTTTGCATGCTTTAAGTAAATTTAAAAATATAGAATAAAAAAAAGCCTTTTTTTTTTTGATCCTTCAGCCCAGTGTTTGATAACAGAAGACAAATATTTGCATGATTTCATCATGAAATGTCATTTCTCTTTTGTATTTCATAGAAGCTTCCTAGAGAGAACTAGTACTTTGACTGGAGAGCAGTTTATCCATTAATATCCACACCTAGGATAGGAAGGAGCCCAAAAGTCAAGGAAAATCTTTCTGATTCAGAGACAAGGTGTGTTTCACACCAGCTGGGTAAGTTTTGTGTAGTCTGTCAATTCTGGCTTCACGGGAGTGATGCTGAATCAGGGGCAGCTGCCACCTGTATCGTTATGGTTTGAGCTATAGCACACGGCAAGAACAAGGCCAATGCAAATGCAGGAGTTTGCACCTGCAGCTCAGTGCAGGCACCGCACGTTCTGCGTCAGTGTCTCTCTTGCTTTAGGAATCCATCCACCAGATTTACTTTCTTAGCAGGCTGGCCAGAAGCACCTGGGATAGAAGCACCCTGAGAAAGTAAAGAAACCACAAAACTGGGATGAAAGAAGCTGCATACATTTAGTCAACAAATGTTGGGTTTAGGTTAAAGAAGTCAAAAGGCTCTTGGAACTCCTCCTCGTTCAGTTTAAAATGCCTATTCCTAGTCATGCAAAAAAAGAGACAGAATTCATTATCTTCCATATGCCAGCTAAGTGCTGAAACTTTTGTCCTTTTAACAGTCCATGACTTTGTTTTATAAAGTGTCTTTTGCTTGTAGCACAATTCCAAAATTTTTAATGCGATAATTTTTTTTTTTTGGAAATGGAATTCTTGTTTTCAAGCCAACCCATATTATCATAACAATGTAGATGTTAAAATGAAGTGAAAGCAAAATATTCAAAAGCTTAAGTTTAGAATGTTTGTCACTGTATTTCAAAACCTCCTTAGCATTCAGATTATTAAAGCCTTTGCTTTTACAATGTATTTTCTGTGACTTGGTCACACAATTATAATTATCCAAAAATAGACAGTAATACATAAAGGTGATAGATCTCTGCAAGTCTTTACAGGGCAAACAGCTGAGTTCCATAAAACTTCAATTCAAAAAGGTCAGCAAGGCAAACAGACCAGTTCAGAGCCACACAAATCACCAGTTCTTGCTATCATGCTCCTTGTTCTAGGAGCAAGAGATTAATATAAACCTAAGCCTTTCTGTTACAGTGATAAACAATAGTAAACTCTTCACCTCCTTTCATTACTATTGCAGTGATGCCAAATTTGGTCCCAGAGGAAGCTATGGAAGTATAGGGAGGACTGATGAGAGACCTGTGAGGCTGGAATGCTGATGATGCTGAAGGCTCAAAACAATCAAAGAGTAAGCTGATGATGTGCTCTGCTCTCAGGTTCATATGTTGTGGAGGTGGTGCCACCACCTCAGGCTGCAGCTTGATGCTGAATAAGATAAGGAAAGAGGCTGAGGCAGATGTTGGGAGATGGGGTAATGTTTTTTATCATTCCTAAATCCTTGCACAAATGTCTCAGCTCTGGGAAACTCTGGGAAAACACTGTGGCATTTGCCATAGCCTATTCACCCCTTCTCATGGGCCATAATTGACTCAACTGCCATGACATGAGAGGCAGCTGTGAAGTCTTAAATCATCAAAGATTCCTGAAGCATCCTGTGATCCACATCATTACATCATGCAGTGTGAAACTCCATGCCCTGGGGGAGGTACCTGGGGATTCACACCTGAACCTGATCTCTATCACAGTATTTCTGATATTGTCATCACAGATATTAAACACAAAAGTAAACAAAAAGGCCAGTACCACACAAATTGCAATAAACATTCACAAATCTAATAAGTAATCTCTTAAAAATGTAATTTCCATTGTCATTCATTGTAGTGCCAGTAAAGGGCCATTGGATTATACAAGTCCTTTGTACGGGGAACCAAAAATCTGTCAGGTTACTGTAAAATACCTGGACTTCCATTTTATTTTACTACTGTAAAATACCTGGACTTCCATTTTATTTTACACTGTCCTCAGAGAAAAATATTAATTCAATTAAAAAAAAAGCTTTTTCTGTAAGTATTTTAAAAACACTGTTGCAATGCTAAACTGTTAAAAGTGTTTAGTAAAATTCCCACAGATCTCAGTGAAAAAGAGAAAACATCTCAAAATGATAGTGTAATGTGTTTGCAGATCATAGAGAAGATTTCAGGCTATTAGGTACCTGTAATAGCTAATATATTTTTCCAAGCTTTACTCTAGAATATCTTTCCACAATGTACTAAGGTTTTCTTTCTCTGCTTCTTCTTAAAGAAGGATTTTTTTTTTTTTAAGTGAAAAGCAAGAGAAACCCAACTGTAAAGTAGTAGATAATTCTCATCGATTCTGTTAAAATTGTAGCCGTATATTGGTTTAGACTACATAATTTTCTCTTGTAGATGGATTTGACCCTAATACATACATTGTCAGAGGAGCAGCCTAAACAGTGCCTCAGCAATGAGGATTTCCTGTGCCACAGAAGTCTTGGTGACTTCTAAGTACTTAAGTCAACAAATGTTTTGAAATAGCATGGATTTTTTTCACTTCAGACTTTCTCTGTATTCACAAAAAGAGTCCAAATTGAATAAAAAGCTTAAGGAGAGGGGGACAGGAAGAGATAAAGAAATGGGATAATGAGGAAGTCTCTTTTTTTTAATCTATATCTTGGAGTACACTTTTCTGATTCCCCTTTGTATTTTCCCTTGCTGGAGATTATAGCAGGGATTCTCTTCCTCACTGTGTACTACCAATGAAATATGGTTTCTGTTGCTTTGGGCAATGTAATGAATAATAGCTTAATACAAATAAAATGGTACTGAAATAAAAGAGAACACAGCATGGACCTAGGATGCAAGAAATACTGGTTATTCTAAGGATAGATTTCTGCTGTTTTTCAATGTATTATTTTACTTCACTGTTCTTGTTCTATTCCTACAGTGTATATATCAGTCCTTTAATGGAATATTTTAATTTTTTTCTCAGCAAGACTAAACTCATCTAGTGTGAAACATCATCTTAAACACAGACTGAATAATGTTAACCAGTGGGAATGCTTCAATTTTGTGTTTGCTCTGTAAATGAAAATTAATGAAATAGTGCCCATTCCTTTCAAATAACAAACTAAAAATGCCACATTCAGATTAAGAGCCAGTGCAGATGGGAACATCTCTCAATCTCTTGTGAAAATGACTCTTCACTTCAATGCATAGCCAAGTGCATAAATTTAAGGGGGGAACAGGAGGGAGTGAAATTGACCTTTACTGTCTCCCTTCCAGAGACTCTGCCTTCATCTACTTCCTTTTCCTTTGCTTTCTAGACTAAAGACTGTATCTCTCTATTTCAGTCTTCTCCTTCATAGTTCAGGATTGGATATGTTTTCATGACACATGATCACTGAAGAATAGTTCAAAGAAATTAAAATCCCCATTGTTACTTTGAGTACAGTTTACTTCCTTGCCTCTGAAACATTCAGGACAAAGCCGAAGTGAATTGACATTGTATTGACCCTTGCTTACTCTCTCAGAACGACAGTAATAACCAAATCACAAGAAAGACATACTTTTCCAAAGGAATTAAGATCCTTATTTCTAAAAATAAGAAAAAGACATAAGTTTAAAAAATATAAGGTATCAAAATTTAGAGCTATAAAAAAATATGTATGTTCAGGTATTTTTCTGAGTTTTGTAGTATTGGTTTGTAAAGTGGTCCTAGATTATCCTATTGCATCATTAAATCCTGCAAGTCTACAATACATTTATCTTTTTACTTTTGGTAAGATACATAGAAAAAGTGAAGATATGACTTTCTCATCCATATAGAGATACTTTTCAGGCAGGTATCTTTCCCTTAAGTACCCATCAAAGTTTTCAAAGTACTATAAATGTATTCAGGTTAAAAATAAAAATTTGCTTAGTCTGTCTAGCTGCAGTGTCTACGTGACACTCCTTGGAGGTTATTTTCTGATGGGATATATTTCTGTTAGGGTAAAATGTAGAACTATCCATATGGAGACAAAACAGGATGGCTGTGGCCTTTCCATCTTTGCCTGAACAAAACAGAGGCCCAGCAGTAGCACTGAAGATGCCCAGAGGAAGGCTCCTTGTGGTATTATAGTTTCTCTCGACAGGAGAGAAACTGCTTTAGCTGGACAGGCTATTGGGATGTGGGGCTGGCATGCAGGGCAGTGGCCAAGGTGAGAAGCAAAGGTCACAAAATGTGCTTTACTTCCCTGCAGCAGTTCCAGCTGAATTACCAGCTTATATGACAAATTCAAAATAGCAGACTTCATATAGCAAAGTTTTATGTCACTTTTGATACAGATTACTTGGATTTAAAGTGACAATACAAGATACAGGAGATAATAAAACTGACAAAATGTATCACTGAAACACACTGAAAGCACCTATGTTAGTAACTTAAATTTCACTTGTATGAAATCAATAGGCAAACTACCAGAGAAATAAAGAGGAGAAAAATCTTTAATGCTTTAAGTTAAATGCCACTTTGGATGGGAAAATAGTGATAAAGTGCCTTTTATGTTTGCCCTTCCCTCACAACCAAAATATGTATGACTCCAATACGCCAGAAGAACAGTTTAGAGAAATAATTAATCTGATCACATCTGGAAAAATGCACAGTGTTTTAAGTAGTCCTCTAAATCTCTATAGTTTTGTGAGGTAAGGAGAAAAAGAAGAAAATATTCTGTTGCTATGCGTGACTCCTACAATTCTCAAAATTGGAGAAGTGATTCAAAGTATTTCTGGATCTTCACTGTTAAAAGAATGTCTTGATTAAATGAAATTTTGCTTTTGGTTTTATTCTTATGGAGGAAGTAAAATAATTATATTCATAATTAAAGTCATATTT